AACTCTTGGGCTTAAGCAATTCTCTTGCCTCAGCCTCCCAAGTAGCTGGGACTACAGGTGCCTGCCACAGTGCCCAGCTATTTTTGTTGTTGTTGCAGTTGTCATTGTTGATTTTAACTGGCCCAGGCCGGATTTGAACCTGCCAGCCTCAGTGCATGTGGCCGGAAGCCTACCCACTAAGCCACGGGCACTGCCCCTTTTTGTACTTTTTGTGGAGATAGGTTCTTGCTCTTGTTCAGGCTGATCTCAAACTCCTGGCCTCAAACAATCCACCTTGGCCTGCCAGAGTGCTAGGATTATAGGTGTTAGCCACTAGTCCTGGGCTTATCATTATGTTTATTATCATACACCCCTCTCCTACCCCTGCTAGAATATAAGCTCCATGAATACAGTAATCTTTGTTTTCTTCATTGATGTATTTCAAGTGCTTAGAACAGTCTCTGACACAGTATATGTGCTCAGAAGATATTTGTTGAATGAGTGAAAAAACATAAACATGCCAGACCCTCAGTAAATACTTGTTGCACGAATTATCAATTGGGAGGTATGAGCAACAGAAGTCAGGATACTTCAGATATGATGTCTAGGTGTTATATGCAGGGATACATATAGATAGGTGTGAAACTAGAAAAATACAGTCTGGGCTCGGCGCCTGTGGTTCAAGCAGCTAAAGCTCCAGCCACATACACCTGAGCTGGGGGGTTTGAATCTAGCCCAGGCCTGCCAAACAACAATGATGGCTGCAACCAAAAAATAGCTGGGCGTTGTGGCAGGTGCCTGTAGTCCCAGCTACTTGGAAGGCTGAGGCAAGAGAATCGCTTAAGCCCAGGAGTTAGAGGTTACTATGAGCTGTAATGCCACAGCACTCTACCCAGGGTGACAGCTTGAGGCTCTGTCTCAAAAAAATAGAAAGGTGAATTATGTCTGTAATTTTCCCTTTATAATAATATATTTTTTTCCAATTTTAATATCAAGTGTATCCAGATTAAGCAGAATGATTTTGAAGTACTTATTCTTTTTCTATTGTGTATAAGATTTGGCATGATCTGTTTTTTGAAATTATCTCTTATTTTTATTTATAAATATTAGTTGTCTATTTTTAGAGACTTTGAAAAAAATAATAAGTTAATTGATGACTGTACACTGAACCTCAGAGTCAAAACATTCTATAATAGACATACTCTTATTTGGCAATATGAATGTTATTTTCTTTGCATTACTATTATTATTATTGCTTAATACATCGTTGCAGCAATCGTCTGATTTCCTTTCTGAATGTATTTATCTTCATTCTTTCTTTTTTTTTTTTTTGAGATAGAGCCTCAAGCTATTCCCCTGGGTAGAGTGC